GGCAGCTGGTCGGTGAAACAAGGTCAAACTATAACATGTCCAGCTGTGTGCAACTTTCAGACTGGAGAGTACATTGTGGTACATGACCATAAGGTAAAGTTAAGAATATATTAATATGTGTAACATATGATAGGTTGTGTGTATTGACTGTCCATCACATGTAAATAGGCTATAGAGTACTAATTAACGTGTATTTTTATTTAAGGTTTTGAGAATATGGAATCATGAAGACGTAAACCTGGATAAAGTATTTAAAGCTACGGTAAGGCTTTGGATTTTCTGACATATTTAATTGTTGGTAAAATGGAATAACTCGTAATCTCACAATTGTTATTTATTTATTTATTGCCTGAGGGCAAAGGAACCTATGGTTGTAGTCAATTTTCCCTTCCAGCTGTTTTCATATAGGTCACGACAACTATCAAGTTAGAAAATGCAGGATTTATGTCCCATAAAGGGTGATGGTTTAAATAGTTCATGAATGGGCTAGAGAAATGGCTCTGCAGTTAAGAGCACTGGCTGCCCTTGCAGAGGACTGGAGTTCAGTTCCCATCACCCACATGGTGGCTCACAGCCATCTGTAATGAGATCTGGTGCCCTCTTCTGGCCTGCAGGCAGGACACTGTATACAAAATAAATAAATAAATCTTTAAAAAAAAAAAAAGGAGGTGAGGGGTGGGCCAGGCAGTGGAGGTGCATTCCTTTAATCCCAGCCTGGGCTACAGAGCGGGATCCAGGACAGGCACCAAAGCTACACAGAGAAACCCTGTCTCAAAAAAACCAAGTTTAAAAATAAAAGGTGAGGGGTGGGTGATGGCCCATGCTGGTAATGTCACTTGGGAGGCTAAAGCAGAATCATGAGTACAAAGCCAGCCCAGATAACATAACTAGACATACTTGGAACATTTTTTCCAGCTGTCAGCTGAGGTCCACAGGATCCACTCAGTACAAAGGACAGAACCACTGGTGCTGTTCCGAAGAGGAGCTGCTCGTGGGTTAGAGGCCTTGC